ACTCTTCAGCTATGGAACATTCCTCAAGGACATATCCCATTGCCATCACAGAAGGAAAGCAACAATTTGCAGTGCCACCTCTGAACTTCTGCTATGCCAGTCTCACTTAGCATACGTCCTAGTGTGCTTCATTTTTGAGAGAACTCACTGTGGAGTATAAGGAATTTATCTCAAATGGAGCCTGTATTCATAAATATACAGTCAGGTAAAATAGTGAGTTGGTATATATGTCTCTAAAAACATTCTTTAACTATTGCTTGATGTTAGGTTTTTCTTTATAACAGGAAAAAAAATAACTTGAATGCTCTTCATTTATCTAAATATATGTGATATTTCCACAAAATATAGAAATTATGTATCAAAGAAATATTTATTCCTTTCCTGTATTTTATTTCTCTTAAATGGTGAAAAAAATTAGATATTCAGTATCAAGGTCTGTTTTCAATAATCATAAAACTATCAAACTTTTTTTATCATACAAATGACTTCATCACAGATAATAAAACTGCACAAATCTCAAAGCCTAAATAACCGTGAAAACGGTTCTATGTGTTTTGAGACAGATGGTAATTCACAACAGTGAAGGGATATGAATTCCAAAAAGACTGTCCTGCAGAAGCTGACAGAAAAATGACTGAAGCAGACTTAAAATATGAAGTAGGACCAAAAGAGAAAAATCATGTTAATTTTAAAATATCACAAAGAAATTAACAGAGATCATATAGATGATATTAAAACCATTCTGGAAAGAAATTAATTCTAAATCTAAACATTATACTATTAGAACAAAACTGAAATATGTTTCATCCAAATGAGCAACATTAACTGCTTCGATGCTTGTCAGGTCCAAGATTAGAGAAAATTGTAGCTGATTATGTCTATCAACCATCTTATCACTGGTCACTTGCCGAGAGGTATACCTAACAAGTATGGTCATTGTTAGCAAGTCAATCTTCTTATCTGCTTCTTAGCTACTTAACAGGAGAGTGAATTAGAAATCAGTAAGAAACAAAACTGAGATCTCATTGATAGGGTCTTGCATTCCCAGTAAGACTCAAATGAATCCAGGTTAGATGAAATCTTTTTTTTTTTTTAAGATTTATTTTATTTTTATTGGAAAGGCAGCTATACAGAGAGGAGAGACAGAGAGGAAAATCTTCCGTCCGATGATTCACTCCCCAAGTGAGCACAACGGTCAATGCTATGCCGATCTGGCTTTGGGTCTCCTGCGCAGGTGCAGGGTCCCAAAGCTTTGGGCTGTCCTCGACTGCTCTCCCAGGCCACAAACGGGGAGCTGGATGGGAAGAGGGGCCGCCGGGATTAGAACCGGCGCCCATATGGGATCCTGGGCGTGCAAGGTGGAGGACCTTAACCACTGCTCCACCGTGGTGGGCCCAAGATGAAATCTTAACCTATCCTATCTGGGTCAGGATCAACATGTATAGTTTGCAAAAGGCCAGTACCAAAAGGATTCTAACAGGGAGTGAGAAAAGATGGTGTGGCAAAAGAATCAAGAGTGCTGACTCCAACACTGACTCACTGAGTGTTATTCTCAGGCCATTTAACCATGCTCTTTTGAATATGTGCTGATACACAGAAGCACCATATACATATATGGACAGAGAGAAGACTATGAATCATACATTTTGTATATATAATGTATACTTATACAGTGAGAACAAATACGTATATGCACATAAATATATGTGCACATATATTTCATATATGTGTGTATGTATATAGATTTATGCAAATGTATGTATGTATATAGATTTATGCAAATATAATGAAAACATATCACATGTATATATAATGTATATATATATGTATACATGTATATATAATGAAAACATGCTCATACTCATGCACAATTATTACTTCCTCTGCCTATGTGGACAGCCTTGTGTCCCACCATTCTTGTTTTTTACACTCTAGCTCTTCCAGGCTTCTGGTGCTTCCTTAAATCTTCCCAACTGTCTATCTAGGCCCTCTCGTCGCTCACCAGGAGAACTCCTACCTAGGTGTTAAATCTCATCTACATGTCATTTCCCCTAATACACCTTCAATAGAAAAAAGATGATTTCATTTCATGGGTTCATGCCAACTGTCTCAGGTAAATAATAAACTCCAAGATAAAAGAGATCTCATATTTTTCATTTTTTTCCCACACAAACTGTATTCCCGTTGATTAGCACAGTATCTGACCCATAGGAATAGTTAAGTTAATTCAATGCTTGTTGAATGAATGAATAATCTTCTTCTGGTTCTCATTCAATATTGCACAAAATCCTGCTGCCATATATGCAGAGATCAATGAATGGCTTAGAGTCTGAAAAGAAGGTCTCTTTCTGATGTATCATTGCTTGATTTTATTTACCTCCAGAATCCTTAGGCAAGCTTCAACGTTTTCCATGAGTACATTCTGTTGACTAAGAACAGTAATTAAAAAAATTCCAGCCTGGCTTTTATGAAAAGATGGGGGATAGAAGATGCCTCTGGTTTAGTCTGCCTGGAAAGAGAAGTGGCTGTCTCCATGAACATTTAGTGGTATGCAATGGAGACTTTCTGGACCACAGCAAGACATTATGACCATGTGATAAGTAACAATGGCTACTTATGAGACTAGAATGATCCCACAGACTCCTGGAACACATCATAATGTATTTAACAAATACAAATCACTAGTTATTTTAACCAACTGTGCTACAAGTGCAGTTCTAAGACAAGCCCCAGGTCTTGGGAGTAGGATGGTTTTACAACAGACCATCAATTCTAACATGAGGAGATCTAAGGTTACTGTCAAGGTATACTGATGCTTTGCTGTGTATTAGATATTACGAAGACTGGCTAACTCAACTCAGGCTCCTCACAGGCAGGCACATATCAGTCTTCATGAAAAGAGTATTTCTGAGTTGGAACCTTATTGATATTCATACCTAGCTTCACTTCTGTTTATTCTACACCAGAAACTGTGGTAAATATTGTACCTACATCCTCCTCCTTGGAGAATCATAATGTGTGTAGTACTTTGTCAACTTCCAGACGTCCTTCACTAAAGATTTAACTCATCTTTATCATAAAAGCTTATTTTTGAGAAAAAGACTGTCAATCAAGATAGTATTAGTAAAGCTGCTGCATCAAAAACTTGTAAACTTCAGTGACTTAATACAGATTTATTCTTCATTCATACTGAACATCCCATTCCACGTGGTCCTCAATGTGGACCAGCCTGTCAGTGTACCATCTTCCGAGCACTTCTGTTTACTCAGGCAGACATGTGAACTCTGAACGTTCCGTCATGAAATGTTACAGCCTGAAAATGACTTATAACCGGCATTTCAGCTTAGAATTCATTGACCAGAACTAAGTTATACCACCACCTAACCATCATTGACCAGGGGAGTATTATCCTGTCACAAATCTGGAAATGAGGAATATTTGGTGAGCAGTACTAAGGACAAATAACCGGTAATTTCATTCAACACTAACATTCATGGATATGCAGCTGGAACCCACTGCTGTTAGCGGTTTTCGAAACAACGACAGATAATCACTACTATTCAAACATATTCCGTACTTTCACTAAACTTACATAATCATACATATTCAGGTGGAAGATGATTTTTTTAGCACTTACACTAAGGTAGAGTACAAAAATGAATTGTTTTGGAAGATTTTATGAAGCTAATTTGCTTTCAAGTTACCAGTGGAATTCACGCAACAGATAGCAATCACATTCCAGGCAATTCTTCTCAGAAATACAAGTGCTATCTAACAGAAAACACAGACAATTCATTTAAAATAAATTTTCTAGGCCAGTAACATGATGTATGCCATAAATGATCAGTTATAAGTTGTGGAGTTCTTAGGTGTACTGACAAAACATAGAAGTAAAATGTTGGGATAGAATTTATCTGCAAAGAAAAATTACATTCATTCTATGCTATCACAACTTTGGAAAAAGAATTTCTGATAAAACTTACTGAATCAAATTATCTTGTGCCTTAAAACCTAGATAGTTGGTCATAACTAGCATAGTGACACAGTACAAAAGCTACTGATATTCAGAAAGAAATTACTTAGTTCGACAATATTGTCATGGGCATTCTAAGCACAATGAAAGTACTTAGCAATGGTTCAAAAAATGTTAATTTTTAAATGGTGAGTTGTCAGTGGTTATGTTACTCGGGTTATGCTATTTGGAACACCCCAATTGGATTGCTTGCTCTCTTTACTTCTGATCCAGCTGCCTACTGAAGTGCAATGTCAGAGGGAAGAATCAGTTAATTGGATCTTTGTCTCTTGTGCAGGAAACCTGGACTGAGGTGTGGGGTTCAGACCACTGGGTAATAAATTAATGGATCTCCGTACTCACTTGAATGTCTTTCTGCTTCTGTCTACTGTCTTTCAAATAAAATAATAATAATAATAATAATAATAATAATAATAAAAGCTTAACTCACTATTTCTGTTAGAAATACCGGGTATGTTAAATTCATGTCATTTCCTTGTTCACTAAGTTCTCCAGTTCTTCCTTATGTATTTCTCAAATGAAACCATAATTAAATTATCTAATATTTGAAGAATGTCTTGAGCCATGCTTGATATATCAGCATTACTTAATGTTGCTTGTTATCATTATTTTTTAAATTATCTTTATTATTTAAACAATACTTTGTGAGTCACATGCTCTGTATAGACCCTGGTGATTTACTTTAGGGAATTCAATCCATTTCTGGTGAAGCGAGGGAAGCTACTCTGCAAAGAAAACTTCTATTTAGGACTGAATAGGAAGTCGCCTTAAAAGTCATGAAGGTGTTCAAAAACGTGTGATGAAGACTTGCTATGTATATAGCTAGATGAATAAACCCGCTTACCTTATATGGTGAATGTTGAGAACAATTATTTGGACAAGTACACCACAACGGTGACTAGCCCTAGCCTCACACTCCCTTACCTCAGACTGAAAAAAATCTGGAGTAACATCATTGAAGTAATTCAGTATATATTTTATTTTTGTAATAATAAATCAATATGCTCTATTATCCTTTGTTTTTTCACATATCGCCATACATCATTCATTCCATTCACTTAAAACATCTTCTTCACGTCCAGGCATTTCCGTTGGTGATTGGTCAAGAGAAGTTGAGTCTTTATACCTGATGGAACTGAGTTCAGAATGAATCTCTGTCATAGAGGCCCCCGCCCCCCAGAAAGCTTTCACTGCTGCCCTGGAAGAAAAAGCAAGAGGAAAAAACAAAACACAAAGTATGAAGTGAACGCTAAAATTAATAGGATTATATTTACATTTTCTGTATTTAAAACTGACTTTTATTCGCAATTAAATTTTCATTTGAGCTCCATCAGCTGTATTGTAAAAGTAGATGAAGCTCAGACTAATTAAGAGATAATGCTCATTTATGTATTTCAAATATTCCTATATAAATTAAATACTAGGTTGTAAACAACAAACTTTTAAAGTTGGGAAAGCTACAACTGGACACCATAAATATTCATTGAAGAACATTTTTTAACAATTTGTTAAATTGCAAAAACTGCATTTAAAAACTTTTATAGCTGAGATTATTCAGAAAATCATCCATATGGAAAATGGTGTGGCTGAGCTATGATAATCCCAGGAGGAATGAAAAGATTTAAACAGGTTTAATACACATATAGAGAGCATAACGAACAAGGCTTTACCAGTCACTGCGCAAGGGAGATGAGGGTGAAAAATAAAGGTGCCAATCGAAGATGATGTATTCCAGCATTTCACTTACCAATTTATAATTATGAAGATCAGTACGAAGATCACGAATATACAGATAATGACTCCTGTGGTCAGCACAAAAACTAGAACTGCGTCCGTGTCGGGTCGACTTGATCTTCTCATCTGTAATTCTAGAAAAAACACATACCTGGCGATTATTACAACTGGAAAGAAAGGAAATGTAAATCTGAACAGAAACTTTACATTTGAAACATAAAGATAAAATATAATATTATCTCCTTTTCAAGCACATAGAAAGTTAAAAAGCATTTAGCAATGAACTCCTGTATTACCATGTTGACAAAAGCCTGAACATTTTACTATTAATCTATTGATTGCTCTACAAATTCATCAACTGATCTTTTTTTGTACATTTTTATTTGCACATGGCTACCCATTTCTCTCCAAATTCTCTGGCAATAATATCTTGAGTTTTTTTCTTCAAATTTACACATAATGAATTGCATAAACATCTTACATGTATGCCTGCAGATTTGTGCATATAATCAAATTCCTATCAGTGTGCCCTTCTGCTTCATCCTTCAGAGCCAGCTACGATACTTTGTTTCCCACTATAGATTTTAGTCTATGAATGGAAACATACACTAAGTATTCTTTTGTATAAAGCTTTTTAAGCTCAATATATAATGATTTAAAGATTTGCTAATACCGTTGTATGTAACTACAATTTATTGTCTTGTTACTAAGTAGTATTCTGCCACCTGTTTATTCATTCTCTTCCTCTGGCTGTTCCATTGTGGGTTATTGTAAATAAAGCTTCTATGCGTTTCTTACAGGAACCATTCTTCAAACATTTACTTTCACATCTCTTGAATAGGCACTGAAGACTGGGGCTGCTGGGCCCTAGGGCAGACAGGTGTTTGCATTTTTAAGGATCATTGGGACAGGTGCAGTAGCCTAGTGGCTAAAGACCTTGCCTTGTGTATGCTGGTATCCCATGTAGACACTGGTTCTTGTCCCAGTGCTCCACTTCCCATCCAGCTCTCTTTCTGCAGCCCAAATCTCCCTCTTTTTATAAGCTCATGATCACATTATATTTATGCCATAGTGGGTAAAGCCACTGACTGAGATGCTGGCATCCCATTTGGGCACCAGTTTGCGTCTCTACTATTCCACTTCCAACCCTGGTACCTGCTATTGGCCTCAGAAAAGCAGCACAAGATACCCCAAGTACTTGCTTGGATCCTTGCCACTCAAGTGGGAGAACCAGAAGAAACTTGTGGCTCCTGGCATGGGTCTGGTCCAGCTCTGGTCATTACAGCCATTTGGAGAACAAATCAGTGAATGGAAGATCTATGTCTTTCAATTTTTCTCTACATAACTCTGACTTCAAAATACATAAACAAATCTTTTTAAAAAGGCTCACTTCAAGATATTATGGCCTCGTCTTAACTACTTTATCTGCAATAGCCATACTATTTCCAAATATGAGCACATTTTGAATAATGGGGTTATGGACTCAAAGTATCTTTTGTGGTAAACACAATTAAACCCGTAACAATTTTAGATTCACTCAGGTAATTTTAGATTTAAAAAACAATAACTGATTATGGAAGACAAGTGCTATTGGAGTAAATCTGATATATAAGGCAATTAATGAAAATGTTTCATTAATTAAATATTTACCCCACAAATATTTCAATTAGGTATTTACCTCAAGCTAGTACCACGATGCATAGACAATTCTACCCAAGACTTTAGTTGACATCCAAACAGCGAAAAGCATCTGTTGCAGTTTGTTTACCCAACTGTCATAGGTAAAAGAAATGTATATAGAACACAGTGTTTCGAGGATATTTGTCATTTAGTATATGTACTGATGGACAGTGGCCCTGTGTTGCTGCTACAGAGCTAGCAATTTTCTCAGGATGAAGGTCTGCTCTTTGGGCGGGTACAGTAGGGTCCATGTTCCAGCTTTGAGCTTTCACTCTAGCTTCCATTTCAGAAAGCACTTAACTACAAAGGGGTCCTAACAGGGGCCAGACATTAGGGACAAAGATTGACAATGAAGCCAGATACCTTTAAAGGATGGCTCCCTGAGATTCTTTTTAGTTTGTTGATGTTTTGGTTCTTTTCCCTTTTTTAAATTGACACTATACTGAACACTGCTCCCTACAGAGAAGTGATTACGAGCTTTTACTATGAAGATAGGTTTTTCTAAAGTCAGTAATTAGCACATCAAAGAAAATTTAAATAGCAAGTAGTTTATTTTTAAGTATCATTCCTAAACACTTTCACCTGCTTTCATTTCAAGAAAGAGGGCTTTGTGGTACTATATCTCTAAACTACAGAAGCTGTTCCTCAGGGGTTTGGAAGCAGCTTTAAGAAATCCATAAACTCCTTAAAATGAAGCATAACTTTTGACATGTTTGACATGATATTTTTCTAGGGAAAGACTTCTGTACCTTAGTAGTATATTCAAAAAGACTTGTGACCAAAGCCCCCATACCTCTAACAACACAGAATGACAACGACAATAGTCAAGAAAAATCAACACAAAAAAATCACATTATGTCGAAGATACTCTGATGTAAATAGGAAGTAGAAAATAGGTAAAATAGAAAGGATGTGCAAGAATGCATCTTATAAGAGAAACCCAGTTTCTAATATGTAAAATTATGTGGGGGACAAGATTTGCTTTTTTATGACATATAGCAAGAACTGTGTTATTAACATTTTCTTCAAATGCATACTTTTTAAAAGATATAATTCATCATGTTTATTTGTTTTACTCTACCAAGAGTTTTTTTTTAAGTATTTAAGAGAATTCCATTTATCCATTTCACTTTTGTGATGAAAATTGAAAGGAATATAATTTAGATTAGAGGAATGTTCTATGGGGACATTTGAGGTATATACCAGCACTCTGGTGAGAATGTGGGTTGAAGGCCCCCCAAGGGCTCACTGTGACTGGAAACTTAGTCATGAAGGTGTTTCCCCTGGAAGAGGCCACAGAAGAAAATGTGCACCCTGCTCAGTCCTTGGGTCTTTGGGGCATGCACTCAGAAAGGGCTCTGGGATGCCAGCTCTCTCTGGTCATGGTTCAAGATGTAATAACGTGTTTGTACCAACTCAGCAGTGGTAATTACAACATGAGACGATGCGTCCAAGGATAGTCCTCACAAACACTGCCCTATACTGTCAATAGAGTGAGCTAAACAAATTTCTTTTTTGGGACATCAGCTGCCCCAGATATTTCATTCTGTTAACACAAGGTAACTAATATAGTATCTCGAAGTGAGGCACATTAGCTCTGGTATAAGCAACACTCATGCAAAATATAAAACAAATAGATATACAGGTGAACAAGTGTATACATATATGTTCTCATACATGAACTGTATAATGGAGATTAGCAAACAGGGAAGTGAAGATACATGGTAGCAGACCACCAGTGAAACAGTTCGATACAGCTTGTCAATATGATACTAAATTTCCTACCTTTGTCTATACATACAATGTCATGATACTTAAATAGCAGAATGTTAAACTATTAACTTACTAAAGGACTATATTACTGTAACAATATGGAGGAAAGTGGGGGAAACGAAAATAGAGAGGAAGTATGGAGAGGGAATCCCTATACCTGCAAAAATGCATCATGGAAAATAGCAAAATATAATTTTTAAAAAAAAGAAAAAAGAAATTAAACACTATCTGATACGGTTCTAGGCAGCTGATTTGGGATCATGAATTTGGAAGCCACATATCCCTTGCCTATGTAATCCTTTCTGCCAACTGGTGAGTCAAATGGAGCTCACCTGTCAATTCCTTGGAACTTGAAGCTGGGCTGGTATTGCCTTGTTGGATAACCACTCTCCTCCCAAGCTCCCTAAAGCCCATCCCTAGGAGGACCTGCGGCTCTTACTCTTGCTCTGGTGCGACAGGCTTCTTTGTTCCTGCTCTTGGCCTTTCGCATGCCTGCTTGCCCCCTTGCTTTCCCTGGTCTTATTTCAAAGACAGAAGAAGCTAGCAATTTCTCTTCCTTACCCTTTCACTTTCCGCCTCACTCTCCCTGAACATGTCCCATAGTTCTCTGTATTCCCCACCCTCTGAATTAACTTTACCACTTAAGCTGTGTCGGTGTCTGTGCTTAAAATTCTTTTTAAGTAGGACACAAGAATCTAGGAAATAAATCTTTGACCCAAACTTACACCACAACATATTTGGTAGAAAAGGCTATCATCTACAGCATCAACGGGAAATTCAATTGAAATGCAGATTCTTGTGTCAACCTGGTTCTTGATTAAAATCAGGAGTTTTGAGGGCAATTCTCAACTCTTCAAAGTTAGAGATAAAAATTACACCAAATCATGGCTAGAAACTTACCGTTTGTTGTATAGACTGTGAATTTAATAGTTGCTATGAGCTGGTTATTATCCAGCGTGTCACACTCAAAAGCCAAAGGGCGAATTTCCCTGCGTACTTCCAGGATTGCTGAATCATTTGCAAGCACAATAGGTTGCTATTTTAAAAAGATAACAAAGGAACAGCATTCTTCACTACACTTAGGATTAGAAAACTATTTCCTGTAGCAAAAGATGAATCACTGTCCCTCTTAACATAGTACAACAATTAAACATGCACATAAGTTGTGGACTAGTGCCATCTAGACCTCAAATCCCAACTTTTTGCTCTTAGGACTGTGGACAAATAATTCTCTGCATTTCACTTGTTTGTGAAAATGGGTATAATGTTAAGAAATACCTCCAAGTTGTTATGCATGAGACTGCACAACTTTGTAGCTCTGGCAGTTGCTAAGCCCTGAATGGTGGCTACTGTCAGCAGTATACAATTCCGATTAAGACAATGAACATTTTGCTTCTAAAATACAATAATTTACATAAAATACCTCCTTAAAAAATTCAAACTATAGTTGGCACTAAAATATATGTAAAGTCTTCTCAGTCCCACTAAGTAACAAAGAATTTAAAATTTGAATAATAAAGTTATATGATTTCTAACTTTGTTTTTGCAAACTGTTTTTTAAAGATAGTTTTCTAGAAGTCATCAAAACGAGGAAACATTTCATTATTGGCTAGGAAGTACCAGACGACATACATTCACTACTTACTTGGTCTGGCCTTAAAACTTTCCACATATATTTGAAACGGTTTGTAGGAGATATGTGTATACATGCCAGTCTAACAGTATCAAGACTCTCAGAGACTGGTTTGCCCCCTGGAATAAAGAATAATTAAATACACAAGTACCATTAGGCATTATAAATTGCTTTATACACAATGCTGCTTCCCAGAGCCAACCCAAGTTTCAGCAGTCAACTGTATGCTGGAAGTCATCGGACTTACAACTGTGAGTGGAGAGGAGCAAAGGAGGGACAGAGAAACATGAAGAGATATCATTGCTGTCGGCTCCTTGTGTAGAGCAAACAGTGGAGAAGAGACAAGGCAATCAACAGTGATTTGCTAGATTGAATTTTGAAATCCGCTATTGGCTTACAGAGTACTAGTTGGGGATTCCCATCAGAGACAGTGTAGGCTAGAACGCCACAGCTCTCATAGCTCCCAATTTAAGCTTTACTAATTGCCTCACAACATTTCATGAGAAAGCATCAAAATTTCTTCAGCTGGCAGCCTCAGTCATCAGCACCAAGTACAGCAAAGTTCCACCATATTATGGAGGATAAGTGTTAAATTTTAGATACCACTGAACATAGCAACATAGAATGTTTATCCAGAGCCACAACTGCTTAAGGAAGAGGTGGAATGTAAAATGCTATTATGATCTCTTTTCAATATATCAATTGATAGACTCCTTCCACTCAAGAGAAACCTGAGGTTGTGGAGATTTTTCCAGAGCCAATTCATCTGCTGAGTCACCCTCTAGCGCACACCAACTCACAGCCACAGTCCACCGGTCCACGGCATTCTTCAACTCGAACGATGCACTTGGATTCTCCTCCAGGGCACCCATTTGTTAATATGACTTCTCTAATGCCAACACCTTCAGTAAAAGAAATGGGCGAATGTTAAAAAGACACAGTTGAAAACTGTTTTTATTGCCCCACAATGGTCTTTTTTGAGACTTTGCTCTAATTTTAGAAAGTGAATTCATAAATTCAGTATACTAACACTTGAACATTTTCAGACCCCTACTTTTGAATTATTTCCTAAGACAGCATTTTCTGAAATGACTTATCTGACACACTAGTTCCACGCATTCTTGCCATAAAACACAGGATTCCAAGCTAATACACAAATGAAAATGGTATGCTGTAATTAAAGGAACCAATGTATAACAGAATTTATTGATAGCTTTCACTATTATGGTCAATATTATGACAAATGAGTGTATTATTATGTATAAATTTTAACTGGTTTAAGATGCAAAAACTTTTAATTTTAACATGTTTCAAATCAGACTACGTTTACCATTGATGTTGCATCATAAATTAACTTATACCATTTCTAATTTTTTGAGTACATGAAATGTACTTCTTACAGCCAATAAAAGTCTTAGATTAAATGAAATACAGCCACACACAACTTTCACCAAGTCTGTTTGACCATGGAACTTTGGTGGGGTAGGGAGAGCTTCTAGAGCAAATTTTGAAATTACATTTTTTCCACAAATGATTTTTAAAATATTTACATTGATAAGGTCTTCATATTAAATATAGACAGTGTAACCTGTTCATAACCAGAATTATGTACTCTGATAAGCCTGCCTAGTAACAGATTAAGGAAGAATATATCCTGAGAAACTTCCTTGTCTACCAAATTTCCTCTTTCAGCACCTGTAAGATGTTAATTATCAAATCTATTTTCAAGGGAAAATTTGAAGGCTAGAGGTGGTTTTTTTGTTTTGTTGTTTTGTTTTTGTTTCTTTTTAAGATGTTTTTGTCTTCTTATTTGGAAGACAGATTTTACAGAGAGAGAAGGAGAGCCAAAGAGAGGGATCTTTCATCCAATGGTTCACTCCAGAGCTGATCCAAAGCTAGGAGCCAAGAGCGTTTTCCAGGTCTCCTTCACAGGTGCAGGGTCACAAAGGATTTGGGTCATCCTCTGTTGCTTTCCCAGGCCATAAGCAGAGAGCTGGACTGGAAGCAGAGCAGCCAGGACATGAACCGGTGCCTAAATAGGATGTCAGTGTCACCGGGCAAAGGATTAGCTTGCTGTGCACCACTGCACCAGGTCCCTGGAGGTTGCTTTTCAACAGTGCTCCTCCCACTGGAGAGCTTCTTCAGCAGGTCTGACATTCTCCAAATTTGAAATGCTCTAGACTGATGCTAACACACTCACTCCATGGGCTACACTTGAAGTAAAGAATTCCATCTGAGCCAACGAGATGGTTAAGATGGAAAAGGGAAGCTCTTTTTAATTAAAAAGAAGAAAGGTTGTTGATAAATGGCTGCAGTGTGGTTCTAGTTCAGTATACGAGATTCCTCTTTAGAAACACAGCCTTTCTGTGCAGATATTTTATATATTTACTTTTTAGATAAATACAGTCTTTTGAGATGTGTGTAGGTGTGACATTATCTGTTAGTCTGAAATCTGCTGGGATTTACATCCTTTTTGTTTGCTGAAACACTATTTTAGGATTAATTAGGATTTGCGGTAAAGAATCTTTACCTTCTAAATAATTCTTTTTAACAGAAAATACTTCTAGACATGCAAACTGCCATTCCTTGGTCCCTTTCACCTACTGCATCTTTGACATATTATTTGTCTGGGTGCCCCTATAGAAAAGTGCCTTCTGGAAAGAAATGAATTTGGTTTGCTTGGTTCCCTGCTATATCACAAGCACCAGTAACAATGGCTGATGCACAGTTTGCCAGAACAAAAGAGTTATTTGTTGCATGAATGAATATATAATTTGGAAAACAAGCATTTACTTAATAGAGGAGTATAGACTATTAGAATTGCCATGAAAATAATTCTCCTACCTATGGGAACTTTTCAAGAAGCACTAGATATAAGTAATGAAAGAGTAATTGATAGTTCACTATATAGATTCCTTTTCTTCTGTTTTTTTTTTTTTTTCCTTCTGGTTTTGATTCACTAAGAAGTTGAAGTTAAAAAAAAAATGCGTGAAACTGCCTAGGAAGCTAGACAGAATGTTAGTTGCCAGGGGCTGACAGAGGCTGCTATGGAGAATTAGTGTGTAATGAGTGTGAGGTGTCACTTCTGGATGACGAAGAGGTTCCAGAGATGACAACAATCAAGTGCTGCAGTCTACACTTAAAAACGGTTAAAGTGGGACTTTTAAGATTTGTTTTATTAATATTTGAAAAAAAAGAGAGAGAGTGCTCTGTTGCATTGGCTCAGTCTCTGAACACCTACAAGAGCCAACGCTGGGCCAAGCCAACACTAAGAACTGAAAATTAATCCATGGCTCCCATGTGAATATCAGGGACCCAATCACTTGAGCCGTTACTCGATACCTGTGACTACCTCTTCCTACCATCCTGTGTCTGAAAAAAAAAAAAAAACTGGCTTTGGGAGCATAGCTGGAACTCTAATATGGATGGGGCATCTTAATTGATGCCTTATCTGTAAGCATAAATACCTACACTACATAGAAAATTTTGTTAAGTATATTTTGCCATAATTAAATAAAAGCTGTCTCAAAACTAACCCTGGTGTAATTTTTTATCTACTCCCCCTACTCCCAAATATCCTCTGGATATTGTTGCTCTTTCCCTAACATCACTGTTTTGTTTTTTTTTCCCTTGGAAGATTCTACCGAGAGTAACTTAATGGTGATTCATTTGTTGTCTTCTCAGCACCCTAGGCGATAGGAGTAGGTCAAAGAAACAGTCCTTTAATCAGCAGCAGGTGCTTTATTGGAAACTTGGTAGAAATGCAGATTCTTAGAGCCCTTCACAGACCTAAGGAGCTTGACATTCAGGGCAGGCCCAGGTATTCGTGTTCCCACAAGCCCACTTAGTGCATGTGTTCAGCATTCATTGTGCTATGACAGCATATAGCCTCAATCTCATACTCTTGTCAGAGAATATATGTTACTTACACATACATTTCTACCAATGTATTGATCAAAATAAGTCCTGTTCTTTGAACACGGTATTTCCCCCCAACCAATGCCTTTTTTTCCTCTAAGATATGACACACAAATTGGTGAAATGCAGAATTTCGAATAGACTATTACAAAGAAGCAATTTCGTGATAGATTTGGCAATACACGGGGTGGGAAGTTATCTGTGAGATGCATGGGAAAGCTTTCTATCATTTGAACATCTGTGAGGTAGAGAAAGTTGCAGTTTGGTGAAAGCGCTTTATGTGCCAAGGGAAAATAAAGAGCTGGTTGGAAATAAGACTGAGAGGCAATGAACTAAAGCTGTTTCACCATTGGAAGAAATCAGCCTGAGCGTTGTTTGTAAACCATGGTTATTAGAAAAGAAAACGAGAGATAAACACAAAATTGCACACTGAACATTCCCGCACTATCTGCCTTTCCTTCCTCCCCCTCCAAATTACTTTAAGGTTGCTTCGTTTGTTCTATGCTACTTACCACATGTTACGGTACACGTTCCGAATTCTACTTCTTTGACCACTGTCTTATTAGAAGCTGAACACAAAATATAAAGACACATTATTTAGCCAGGTTGAAATCTTTCCAAATGAAAAGATCTCTTACTTGGAGGTAGATAAATATTTATATGGGAAGAAGACATTTACAGTTTGTTTTTTCTATTTAAGCCAGAAAACAATGCTATTTCTACTATAAAACAATCAAAAACTTTTGAAACATGTACAAAATTAGGGGGGAAAAAAACTGCAAGGAAGTTTCATATTTAAAGCTTAAATATGTTTAATTTTTCATCAGTTAGTATATGATGAGCTAAAATTTTATTGAAGATCAGACAAAAAAGGCCTACCCGTTCCAAGAATCACATTTTTCATTATTTTCCAAAAAAAATACAATGTATAATTTCCATCCAAAAAGAAGTCTTTATCAAGAGTGAATTACATTGTTTCTACAAATTTTCCAAATGAAGATGATAAATCTCTGAATTTCTAAGAATTAACTTCAAAATATATATTTACTGTGATAAACTAGAAATATAATTACTTGAGGAGCTAAATATTCTTAGTTTTCATTTACATTCCCTTAAATATTCTGAAGTTTGGCATGTTTTCACAAATTTTAGTATGCAATTATTTTTAGATTTTTTAAGGTGTATTTTTATTGAAAAGTCAGATTTTACGGAGAAAAGGAGAGACAGAATATTCTATCTGCTGGTTCACTCTCCAGGTAGTCACAATGGCCAGAGCAGAGCCAGAGCTGAGCTGATCCAAAGCCAGTAGCCAGGAGCTTCCTCCAGGTCTCCCACTGGGGTACAGGGTCCCAAGGCATTGGGCCTTTCTCCACTGCTTTCCCAGGTCACAAGTAGGGAGTTGGATGGGAAATGGAGCAGCCAGGACACAATTGGTGCCCATATAGGCTCCCTGTGCATGCAAGGTAAGGATTTAGCCACTAGACTATTGCACTGGATTCGTAACTTTTTTTTCATGATTAATTTTTAAAAGTTAATATCAGTACTAAAACCTTAACACAGAAAATAAAACATGAGATACTAGAACATAATCTTTAAAAAAAATTGTATTTCAGGCCAATAAATCACATGAGAAAGTACACTGAACTTGTAGTCCAAAGAGCTACTTCTATCATTAATTAGCTCCTTGAATTTGAACAAATTAATTAAATTCTGTCAAGTATAGTCAAGCTCTTATAAAACCTGGAGATCCTATTTTATTTGGTTATTTTAAGGATAAGACAATGTGTGTGAAAACATTCCATAAATTGTTTAACAGCATAAAAATACTTGATATCTCATAATTTATTCAGTAATTTATAAGAACATTTTGGATTTATGTTGTAATGCATTACTAAGAATTTTTTTGTCTCTTTTGAGGACTGTGATATGTTGACACTCCTAGTTTATATTTAACAAGCTCCAAGTAAAACTCCTTGAACACAGTAAGCACTTGATATATACAAATAAATCTATCTTCCTTGTTAGATGATTTAGACTATCATGATGATCAATTTGAATTGACATTTTTATGCTTGAATACTTTTTGCTGACACATTATGAAATATCAGGAGAAAGCAAATCCTGACCGCAGAAAATACAGATGCAAATACTGGGCCCTTTCAAATACAGCCTCTTTCTAAACATCTCTAACCAACATCCATGGGGAAAATATTCAATTTCAACTAAGGGGGGGGGGTATTATTTCTCCTAACTTAAGTTTTCTTAGAAGAAAAAAGTACAGAGATGGAGTAGACTTCTAAATTGCCTTTCTGCTTGAATTTTCTTTAGAAGAAAACAGTGCGAAGTTTGAGTTAGTTTCTGATGTTTCTTTTCGAATGCTCTATCTTGAGTGTCCATTAAATTATTCACAGTGGTTTTGGATGGGGATTCTACAATGAAGGGACAAGGAAACTAACATATCTAGAATTCAGTGCAGCAGCTGTAAAACTTCCCATCATACTTGTGAGTTAAAAGGAAAACTGATATTCTGCAGGTTAATACAGAATTCTGCCTGCAAAGTTAGTAACAAGAGTAAATATGTTTGATGATAAATGTGGACCTAAAAATGATGCGATGGTATAATGGACAACTCTAGCAAAAGATCCTTACACAAAAATAAAAATCCTGCAGGTGAAGCTGAAAAGTCAGCTGTCCAAATATGCTTATAGGTTGTAACTTGATAGCGCAGGTAAAAATGAATGGAAATGCAAGCCAGTGAGTTCAGTAGGAGTCTAGAATACAAAGAGGCCTCTCTGAAAACATACTGGGTATTAGGCTACGCTGATAAAAGCCCAGCATCCACAAAGTAATAGGTAATAATCCTGCTGGTTTTGTTCTGACCAGGGCCTGGAACCAGAATCATGGTAAATGAATGCCCTGTTAAAGGCATATCTGAAATTTTGAATCAGGATCTAATTGATACGTATATTCATTCTTAAAAGCTTGACTCATCCACTAAGAGAGAGTTGCATAATTTTTAATTTGGGTTTCAGAAATGTTCAGATCTCTGACAGCTTAGGTGGTTATAATTCTGGGTTTTACCCTTGGCAGGAAAAACAGCTTATGCCTGAAAGTTAGATACACAATTCCAAACAGGACATGAACTCCATGAAACCTTCAGGTGAGAAAACTAAAACACAAGGAGACAATGCTAACTTACCTACATCTGAGTTTGGATATAAAGCAGTTTTAACTCCATCCCTTGGGTTTAGCCTAAACAATATTAAGAATTTTGCAGCTTTAAAACTGTTAATGAAAGACCAGAATGAAGCAATAGCTACCATGTATAGAAAACATACTTTCATCCTTGGGTATCTTTTTTCACATCTCCAAAGTCAAGGAGCTTTTCAAGCTCTCTCTAACGTAATGTTATAAAAGTAGTGCAAACCTCGAGCCCACTATTAACTTCAGATAGTCAATTTCTTTCTGTCGCTGAGGGTCACTGCCATTGAGAAATAAGAGACAGGCTGAAGCACAGCACTCTCTGGGTAGACCAAAGAGACATGAGCATGTCAGGGATATTAAATCTCAGCTGGATGTTTTATGGGAGAAAGGGTTCATTCCCCTCAGAAGACTGCAAACCTGCAGCTGACCTTTTACCTACCGGTATGTGGGTTAGTAATCAGTGTAGCATGTATAAGCCCTGTCAAATTTTATGGCTTAATGAGCCAGCGGTGTAAGGCAAATTTATGTAGCAAGTGTAGGCTCATTTTCTCTTAGCATCACGTAACAAAGGCTGGGCCCCTGAACGGGTGTTTTCTACCTTGACCTTCCAAGGTTGAGCAGACAAGTAAAAACCTAGCACACTGCCAAGGCACTGAGGGGGGTAAGGATGCAAGGAGCTGGCATAGGGCTTCCTGGCATTTTTGAAAGCACGCTGGTTCATCCAGATGTGTCACAATAGAGAATTCTGAATTCCACCGAGTTCCCATTTCAAGTGCAAATGTGGAAAGGAATAAAACTTGAAGCAATTTGGAATTTCAAAACAAGAAAAATCTAAATGGGAAAAAATGCAAGAAGAATATAAATGAATGTGCAGAAGGCTGCTTCTCCCTACCCCCTCAGCCTGCAGGAAAATAAATAAATAAATAAATAATTTTAAAAAACCACTTTTTTCTGTGTGCAATGCATTCTATCAAGCAATTTCCATTTTCGTGCTTATTTATCTTGCTGAGGCCTTGGAGAATCACTCCGTCCTTCTTCAAGATCGTAATTTGTAGGAAATGGATAAACTCGGGGCTGAGGGATCGCAGCGCCCCCAGAGAGGTTAACAGAGGCAATCCTGAGGTTCTTAGAAAATCAGCAGGCTTGTCCCTCCACAGGGGTCGTCAGGGGCCCGCCCAGGAGCCTGTGACGCTCACCGTCCTCCTCTGTGGCCTCGGCCGGGGCTTCGCTCTCGGCCATCTCACTGTCATCCTCGGCCTCCTCTTCGCTCTCACCCTCACTCTCGCTCTCATGGCCCAGGCCGGGGTCCTGCAGGGCCGTGACGTTGGTCCCGCACGTGGACTGGAGGCCCGCCAGGAGCAGCCAGCCAAGGGTCAGCAGCAGCCCCGTGGAGCAGCCCGCGCCCCCGGGGCTCATGGTTCTCGGCCCTGAAGGCCACCCTACGCACAGTCGCAGCCCCGCTCCTGACAGAGGTACCCCAAGACAGGCGCGACGCCCCGCCCCCAGCGGCCTCTCTGAACCCGGCTGCGAGTCCAGGCAACCATTGAGGCGTCACCGCCCGCGGGCCCGCCAGGGCTCTGGGCTTGGAACGCGCGCGGGACCGCGCACCCTGCCTTCTTTCTTCCAAGAGGTTTCCTGTTCTCCTTTTGCATTTATTCCTTTCCAAAGTAGAGTGCATAGACCCTCAAGCGCTTTCCTTGTTACTTGCTTTCAGCATTAGTTATCCAGAATGATTATCGTGGATGCACCAAGTAGGATTCCTTCTAACCTATCAAATCTCGTGCTCCAAACCAGATCCTTGACCGCAGGTGAGGTCGATTTGTAGAAGTCAGAGGTGCACAGGCTCGTGGAGATGCACACCGTTGTGCATGGCAGCTCAGAAACATATCCTTCGGGCAAGGATTTCTGCAGCAACAGCTCTGCGGGGACTTGATTGGACGAGACTGCAGTAGGCAGAGAGTGAGAAGGATGCGATGGTTCTCAAGCTAGATCTTTCCCGTTCTGTTTTGGGGACCATTGATGCTTTCTGTACAAAATGCAGGATTTTTAGCCTTCCTTCCTGGGTCACTGTCATCTGTTTTATTTTGGCCCGCTTTAGGAGTTGCTGTTATTTAGAGCTTCATTGAGGTTTTTTTTAACGGTATTTCTGTTGTCTGAATGTTCGGTATCTCTCCCAAGTTTGATTCGGAAAGAATGTCTGCTTTGGGTTGAAACTCAGAGTCAGGTCTGGATCCCAGTGGGGTCACTCACAGCGCTTGCAATAACCACTATTGCTTAAACTGAAAGTCAGCTCTTGTCTCAAAAGGACGTCATATCTTTTACTAAGCTTGAATAAGACTAGAAGCAAAACTATCTTAAAATCCTAGTTTTTCCACTTGAATCAGTAAAAGAAAAAAAAAAATCTGGTTAGGAATAATGTGCTACAGCACTCTTGATGAAATTCAGTAGATCCAATTGTATCATAGAAATGTGATTTAAACTCCTTTCCACTGATGGCATGAATTCCAGGAAGTCAGCTCTGATTACTTTGAATTTCTTTCCTAGGAATAGGGTTATAGGCCTTTTGAGTAAGGAAGTTTATAAATCATCTAATATTCCAAGTCCCTCATTATTAAGTAAAGACATTAAGAATTAGGATTAGGCAAAAAGCCCCAAAAAAAACATCCTTCAAGTTATTGGCAAAACTGGTTGTCCCAATGAAGTTTCCCGAATGGTCATTCAGTCTATTCTTCACTGAGTCTGGTAATTCAAAGTAAATCATGAAGATTCTAGTGGGATAATTGGAAGTCTAGAATTCAAGTGCTGAAGACAAAAACCATCTTTGTTATTTCAAGTTTGATTTCCTCTAGTAGTTACAATGAGGTCATTTCTTGCTGCTGCTCCTGCTCCTGTCTTCCAGAATATGTGCAGAAAGCCTTTGTTTATCCACATCTCCAGTTGTAGCAGGCCACAACAGGTAAGCAGGTTTCTCAGAAAAAGTAGTATCAGTTTCTTCATTGCCACTGTTTTACAGCAAAGCAATTTGAAGCAGAAGTAGACATTCTTATTGGAATATTGTCGTTACTGTTTCTCACAAAGGCTTTTAGCTTTACAAAAGCAAGAACTGCTGAAAATGGCCACTACTAACGTTCAAATTGGTGTTGGCCAGGAGGTGGGGAATATCATATATTAGTTAAAGCTTCTTAAGTGCTGTACTGCCTGGGCCCTGGGCAATGGCTCAATGCCTAAATCCTCACCTTGCAAATGCTGGGATCCAACAAATGCAGGGGCACAGAAGTTTGTGTCCTGGCTGATCCAGCTCTCACCCAGCTCTCTACGTATGGCCTGGGAAAGCAGTCAAGGATGATGCAAAGTCTTGGGACCCCTGCACCCGCATGGGGGACCCAGAAGAAGTTCCTGGCTTTTGACTTTGAATCAACTCCAGCTCTAGACATTTGTGGCCAGTTGGGGAGTGAACCAGCAGATAAGGGATCTTTATTTCTGTCTCTCCTTCTCTTTGTAAATCTGATCTGCCTTTCCAAAACAAATAGATAAATCTTTAAAGAAAATTATAGTGCCTGACAAAATTAAGAAAGGGGTAATTAGAAGTGTTTTGGAGAAGCAAAGTTTTTTTTTTCATATCTAAATGGAAGAATTAAAAATAAATAATTCGAGTGAATCCACAGAGGAGCTAAAAGATTTGACTGTGAAATAAAGAATATTAACATATCATTTATGATAGCTATTACATAAGTCACCTCTAAATTATTGTTACTCATATGAGTTATAAGAGAAAAACCTAATATATTTGCCCTAAAAGCATTTTCACTCAAAAATTCTTATTATGTCCAATGTGGCATGTATCTACAGGGATCTAACATAGCCTAATGATGCCATGGATAGTGAAATGTGTTTAGCCAAATGGGAGGGGACAAAGGCATTCACACCACTCAGACCTTTGGACACCAAGAAGTAGAAGTTTTGTTAAAGATTTATTTTTATTATTTTTTTATTCGAAAGCCAGATATACAGAGAGGAGAGACAGAGAGCAAGATCTTCGGTCCAATGATTCACTCCCCAAGTGAGCGCAACGGCCGATGCCCGAAGCCAGGAGCCTCTTCTGGATCTCCCACACGCGGGTGCAGGGTCCCAAAGCTTTGGGCCATCCTCAACTGCTTTCCTGGGCCACAGGCAGGGAGCTGGAAGGGAAGCGGGGCTGCCGGGATAGAACCGACGCCCATATGGGATCCCGGGCGTGCAAGGCGAGGACCTTAACCACTTGCACCATCGTGCCGGGCCCAAGAAGTAGCAGTTTGAACCTCAGTCTTAAAAATGTTACTAAGTCCCATCTCATCTTAGTTTACTCAGTTCACCTGACACTGCCTAGAATCAACTATCTCCATCCTAGCCTGCCCAAATATATCTTATCCAACTTGGCCTGACCTTAACTGCCAAGAGGATGACTTGCTTGAGGTCACTTACCTTAGCTGCAGGCACGAAAACCCACCTTTGTTTTGTCTCTACTTCAGAGAACTAAAAGCTTCTAAAAGGAGGGCAATTTGAAGTTCTTGTGATATAACCGCAAGTAAATCAAGGCTCAAATAAAAGATAATCACAAAAATTAAAAAAAGAAATAAAAGTGGGAGAAATTGCAAAAAGAAGAAAAAATAAGCGAAGTGGAATGGTTGAGCCACTTAAGAAAGATGATAGAGAGGAATAAATACAAGAATTAGGACAGATAATAGATGTGTTGTTTCAATGGGTTCAATTGGAGGCATCAACAGAAATAAAATGAACACCGCCAGCTAGCCAGCTTGAGATAACCACATCTAAAACATAGGTTGAAGGTCACTACCACACGCCACCACATGGAAAATACATACATGGTTGCAGTTAACATGATGTAGTAGTGTTGCAAATTTTATAGTGCTGTTTACAAAAATAGTTATCTAGAGACAAATTGATTTGGGCTTTAAAATTCTTGGCTTGTTAAAAATTCTTCTCCCTAGCCATTCCAAGACAGAAGGCTGTCAATCCATTTCGTTCTATTTCCAACCTTTAGGAGAAATTTTTTTTTTTCTCTTCTTGAGGCAGATCAGAGGAGCAAAATCATCATTTCATCTTTTTATTTTGCACCCTTTCTCCTTTGGTGCTATTAAACAATGCAGGCATTTCATGATAGAAACTGTATAAGGCCTGCTCGATTTCTGATTGTAGGTTTCAGTTGGTTATACAACTGGCAGTAGGCACAGCCTCACAATATGTATTCAATAGCTTATTGCTCTCATTGCAGCCCCAAAATCTCCTACCCTAATGTTTTTCTAACACAAATGTTGTCAAAGATACTCCTCTATAAAACCTTCTTAAGGGAACAATAATTTACAAGGTGTGAAAGAAAGAGTAGCAACCAAAATATGTTCTGTTTTAAAAGAATTGTATAGTAATTTTAATACAGACTGTCACATACAGATGTGAAGAGACAATGCAATGTGCCTCTCTACTTCCAAATCGAAGATGGACTTCCAATGAAACTCTTGAATGTATCTTGACAATAGAATGCTGAACTCTATCACTGATGATGCCTACAATGTCAAGATACACGTCAGTGTCAGAGTGATGGACTTATGACTGATGGTGAAGGACTACACTATTGTAATGACATGAGGAAAATTAGTATGAGGAGATGACTTGCAGAGGGGATCCTATCTAACTGTATCAAGGAATAATTACATAAAATTTAAAAACAATAATAAAAAATAATTTTAAAAGTCTTTGAAAAATAAGTTGAAGAGTCATGGTCAGAATTTTGTAAAAGGACTAAATATCATATTGTGAAAGTCTTGAGTAGAAGACATGTAATACTCTTAAAGTTCTCTCTTTGGAGAGTGAGTTTGAATGAAGTATGCTATCTATAGCTCTTCAGGTTATAGGTACATAATGGCTATATCTGCCAGGATTAAAATACACAACAGAAACTTCTGAGTGTACCAAGATCATTGGGTTTCCTGCACAGTTTTTGTGACCCCAGTTTTTTGACATTTTTCTTGAGTTCGTTACAGGAACAAGCGTTCTTATTTGCATTAGTTACTGCAGAAAAAGATTACACAACCTTTTCTCAACACAGCTCTACCCACACTTGCTGTTACCCCAATTTAACTTCTGCACTACTTTGTTTATCAAATCTCCTCCAAAATAGATGTGCCCCTTGCTCTGCTTTCTGAACATGAAATCCTAAGTGACAAAGCTAAATTGTCCAAATATCAGAATGCAGATGCCCTCCCCGCCCCCCAATCTTCAGTTTCTTTGTAATTTTTGCTTCTAACTCCACTCTTACGATCACCCTGGCACAAAACTTTGTGAGGTATTACAGTTCTCATGATTTCACACACACAAAAATTTTACGTATAAAAGTCTACCGTATTTTGATACACCCAGGT